ATATATATATATATATATATATATATATATATATATATATATATATATATAGATTTTGGTTCAGGTGAGAATGCAATCTAATGAAAGAAATAAGAATGAATCTGGTGCATTAGATTGGGAGATCTAAGGGTTAGGATTGCATCAAAATTAGGTGCACCAAGATGGTTTGAAAATGCATCATGTCGAAATGCACCATAATTGTTTGAAAATGCACGATCTCAAAATGTGAGTGCAGAATGCAATCTGAGCCGCACGATGCATTAGGAAAAGATTGTGTGTCTCTATCTGTGCAAAAGTACGTAGAAGAATGTAATCTCATATTTTTGGTCACTGTATAAACTTTACATTACAACCACATTTTTGAGGAATTGGCGGTGGCACCTATAATTTCCTGTTTCAAAGCTTCGAGTAAAACTAAAAGAATTTAGATAAAATTACGTCTACGTACAACTATTTTTACTCCAAGTGGTTCATTTGTGGAGTTATTATTAAGGAAATTCACTACATATCTCATTGTGCAATCTAATGTATCAAAAGTAAATCTATTCATCTTAGATTATTCATTCCATACGATTATACTTGCTACTTGGATTAGTTTTGCTTTCAGGCTTTCTTGTTTGATGGCATACGATGAGCACTCGATTAGCGCCAAATGGATTAAGAATCTTGAGTCTGTTGTCCTTCCCCTAGGCAAAAGCAATGCTACAATGGAGCTGGATGCGACATTCAAGACAACCTTACCATTTGAACTCGGGGAAGCATAAAGTGATTTTAGAGAAATATTTTTCCACATCCATCGTACCCCTACACAAAAAAGAAACTTTGTTTTTCAGCTGTTATGACTTCCATTATTTCATTAGATATTTTTCTCTAATCTTCATTTATCGTAGATATATATCCCCTAAGATCAAATGACAACTTTTCTTTCTCATAGTCCAACTATACCAAGAAATTATTTTGATATCTTTTAACTGGATTATAATTTATCCCTCTAGTGTAGCCATATTAAGGTATGTACATGACGCAAACTTCTCTTTTGAAAGTCAACAGTTTACAAACATATATAGAATTATTTCAATCAAATGACCATATTTTAAATTTGAACATCCAAACTACAACAACTTTATTATTTAACTGAAACTGATATAACAAACTTTAAAATTACCTGTAATTAATTTACCAAATATAAGTCCTATTTTATGTCCTCCAAATGATCCAATTTCTTTTTAAAGATTTTAGGTTCAATGTTAGGCATGTCTTCTGCTCTGCATTTCCTTATAATCATATATCTTGCAATGTATTGTCATTTCGTATTCTATGTTATAGTAATGAATAAATTTGGATAACCAAATCTTTTACAAATGACCATTACATCTTGTCAGTTGTTAAATATATATCTCATTCCCAGTGAATGTAGATGATAAGATAATTTCATGGCCAATGGCTACTCATTCAGTATCACCTCTTATCACAGCTTCATGTAAGCCACTCATAAATGCTCCTTAACTTGATTCGGGTTTAACCGCACGCACTGGATTCTTTATGCTTTAATCATCATATATATATATGCATCAACAAAAAATTGTAAATACAATCTTTGTGGAAGCAACACAATATATACCACCATCATTTTCTCTTTCTTGTATTTGAAATGAAATAAAGTCTCTCACTAATACTCTCTGACAGTTTACATTTTATTCGCACAAGAAATGATTCCCTTATAAGTATATTTTCTCGATATTCATCATCTCCAAAAGGAAAAAACAAAGAGTATTGCAGAGGTATGAAAGCAGTGTGTGTCTCGTAGACTTTTTATAAGAATCCATCTCTTTTCGCGATGATGTCTCTCTCTTCATTAGATGAATCAAGATCTTTAACTATTAGAGCACAAACTTCATGTATTGTGGAGATATTATATATACGGAATAAAATTAATGTTCTGTTAAATAAACATGCCCATAAAAATCCATTTCCTTTTATATATTTGTTTCTGTTTTTTAAATAATTATAAAATCTCTCCAATTAGTATTAATTCAAATCAAAAAAATCAAATGTAATTTCGTTTAGTTCTACCAATCTATCCGTTCTTAAAGTAAATTTAGGGTCTGTTTGGTGAGTTTTGAAGATATGATAAGATAAGGATTTTAAAATCTGGGAGAAACGATATGGGATTAGAAATCTGAACCAAATTTGTTTGGAGAAAATAGAAAAAGAACCACTCCGTAGAGGAGTTGAGAGTCGCGGAAGACAAATATGTCTGTGCCGCTTGGGACATGGACATCATTGCCTCCTCCACTACCGCCGAAAACAGGACTTGCGTCGTCTCCTCTTCCACCACTGGAGACAGGACATGCGTCGTCTCCTCTTCCGCTACCGGAGACAAGAGAAGATTGAGATAGACCAGAGACGAAGAAGACTTGCGATCCAGGTAGAGAAGAAGGAGACTTGTGATCCAGATAGGGAAGAAGGAGACTTGCGATTGAGATAGAGATCCGCGCTAGTCTTCCGATTTGGGTGACTTAGCCTTCAGCGGGTTGTAGCGAGACATCCGGTTCTTATGTAGTCTTCCGGATCAGAGGATTTTCATCTGCTTGAGAAATCCTTACTTGTCTCTAGCATTTCCGGTTAAGATATCCAATTTCCATATCACTGAATTTGATTAAGTCTTCAGACATCAAAACGCTTAAAGAAATATCATAACCTTATTGGAAATCTCAAGAACTTGGTTTTAACAATATTTCTAAAAAGAAAAATTACATTGAATATTGGGGGAGACCTAAAGTCCCTATTACATTCTAAATACATCATCATCAAAATCTATGATATTTTTCCCAACAATTTCCCCCTTTTTGATGATGACAAACAAGTGTTTAAGAGTTCCGGTCGCTGTACTGAGAACTAATTTTGTAACTTTCTTTTAGTTTCTCATAATATACAGCTTGTTAACAAAAACTCTTAAACAAATACAATTCAAATTACAATAATTCCTAAACCAAGTCTTGTCTTGAGATTTTGTGATCTCTTCCGCCATTGACCGTTTTCAGCTTCAGCAGATTCTGCTTGGCAGAGCGGTTGGCGTTGCGTTTGATAGATCTTTAATATCCAAAGTGGATATTTAAGATCTTGGAAGCAACACATCTCTCAAAATAAGAAGAAAGATAGAGAGAGTGTTGTTCCAGAGAAGGTGTATGGTCTAATACTGAAAAATACGAGATTTCCACCATAGACCTTCTCTACTGCCGAGATTCTCACCATAGACCTT